GGATGTGGAGATCTGAATTCCTTAAACTTGCTGGAATTCATGATTTTCAAGACCTCCACCATCTGCCAAGCTTGACAGAACACAACTTGCGAGTTCAAAAGTGTAGGGTAGGCACAGACAAATCTCATCTACATACACACACAAAGCACAGTAATAAGCCTCACTTCCTCAGGAAATCAGACTAAAAATGGCACAATCATGAAAAGCAAAGGTCTGGGCAAAATCCCATGTTTTTCAAATTGGAAGCATAAGTCAATGTCTTGGCTAAATAATTTTTTGCCTTCTTATTTTCTACTAACTATATAATAGAAAAAAAAAATAGGAAAACTTTGTATCTACCTAATTAGAGTCATGAATAACCAGATGTTGCTCCAGCAGCTGATTATATGAATATGTAGAATGGTCACTTAATGAGACACTGTCGAGTACCTTCTGGTTTAGGAGTGCAGCAAAGATCTTTTTTGGAGGAAAGAAAAAGCAGCACCTACGGTCATTTCTTCATCACCTCACTCTGTGAAATGAATGCAGAACCTGCCAGCAGTTAATATTGCCCTGAAGCACTGTGAATAAATGTTTGCCTGGTATTAGGTACACAGACACTCCACATATAAATCAAGGTGCAATGTGCCATATAGATGAACAAAGGAAGAAAAAAAAAAACCCTGCCTAGTTCTATATTAGACATTAAGTGCTTCTTTTGATCACAAAATAACTCATAAAGMCTATTAAAGAGCCAGCACTTCTCTCTCTGTCAGATAAAAGACACTTCACAGTAATTAAACTTCTGTCCAACTTTCCCAAAGATTAGGGGAAGAAGTCTGACAGGCTCTATTTGTTTTTGTGACTGACACTCATCGGGACATCCAAGGAAAAAGAGAGGTTGGGCACTAGATTTACAACACTTGTGAGCTAACAGCACTTACAAAGATGGACAGTTCTGGGCTTATCATCACTCATTCATTTTTTCTTTGTATTAAAATAAAAAAAAAAAAAATCACTGCTGCCCAACCCCAAAGCATTTTCTGTTCAGTTTGCAATCTACATTTCCTGGTCTTCAATAGTTTGGGGTTTTAGTTCATTTTAAGCAACAACACACACAGCAGGTTTTTTTGTAAATCAGCCTTACATGATTTATATGAATAAAGGTGGTAAACAACCATGTCCCTTAACAGAACTCCGTGASCACTTGCAGCAGGAAAATCCTTTTCCAAACCCATTCTCTGTGTCCCTTTTCCCATCTGAAACAATATGTCAGAGCACATGGCTGCGTTTGTGACACGAGGTGATGGCAATGAGCCATCAGCTCCGTGATCTCAGCACCAGAACCAAGGATTTACTGCTCTTCCATTCTCCTTTGTGTCCTTCATCCTGCCCAGAGCCAACTCCACCTATGTGTTTCCTCCTATTTGACTTTCCACAGAACATCTCAAGGTCCAAAGGCAATATTGCACTGAGACCAYAGAGCAAAAGTAGAAATGGGAGGGAGCACAAGCAAACATTTTCATGCCTGTCTTTCAGCAGAGCAGCAAAGCTCATGGCCTGTCTTTCAGCCAGAAAGCAGCATCATTCCTTCACATGAGCCATCTCACAGGACAACATCTCAAATTCTAAAATAATTTGCCAGGATTGTTTTAGGAAATCTCTCCAGAGAATCCAAATATGCAGGTAGGAAGCAGGCACAATAAATATGCATCTTTTCACACTAAAGAAGAAGTGTAACTGCTACATCATTTCTCCATAAGACAAATCTTATGAACCACTTGGCTGGCTTTCCATATTCCAAACTACAACCACAACACACATTTCAGTGCACCACACCTACAGCATTCAAGGGGAAAATATCTGAGAAAAATGGCCTTTAACGAATGGTGGCTGCTTGGGTAAACTGACCCATAATTAAACACCTTCCTTTCATCACCTTTTCCTAAACAGAAGAGCAGCTCCACTCCTTGCTATCCAAGTGGCCCTGAGCAATCCTCTTTGGAGCTTTTGAACCGTTGGATTGTTATCTTTGCTCTGCAGTTAAAAAGCTCCACGACACTTCCTGCTGCTGCTGCTGCAAGTATAATTTACTCTATTTATACRACTTCTAGCAACACACTCCAAAGCAGCACTGAGAGTCCATCACGCACGATTAATGGCACTTTCAGCTCCATTACTCAGCCATCCTGAAGGTGCCAAGAGCAGTGAGCTGCTGCTCATGGGCTCAGTGCTAAAGTGACCCTCTCCTCCTGCCCCATGCTGGGGAGGTTTTTTCTCCCCTTAGCAAAAATAGCACAACTCAAACACGTAAACAATCGCCGTTGAAAGAAATTGATTTCAACCTACTGCTCAGGAAATTCAGTCCTGTGGCTCTGTGTCTGAAAGCATCCAAAGTGAGTGATGGAGCAAATAGGAGATGCATCATCATTTGATYTCTGGGAGGCCTGGAGATGCTGGCATCTGCACAAAACACAGATTGCAGGGCAGATCCCCACACAGGGAAACACCACAGCAAAGGTGGGTTTGTARTGATGTGCCCTCTTGGTGCTGGGATCATCTCCATGGCCTTTTAACTACACAAACACTGGTTCTAAAAAACACTCAGAACGAAAAATGACATAGCATGATTTTTTTCTGTTTAGAGAACCTATTTGGAAAAGGTTTCCCAGTGTTTTTATCAACCATAAATCCCAATTCTAGATCAACTACAGGACAGTGGAAGCAGAAATAGCAGCAGGCAAGTGACTCCCAGTGACTGAGGAGGGTGGAAAGATGGCATCACTGGGAATAAAAACCCAGATGATCGTAGGGTAAAGACAGAGAATATTTAGTTTGTAAAAAAAAAAAAAAAACCCTCCATCTTCCAGGTACTCTCCTGAATGTGGTTAAAATTTGGTGATGAGCACACACACAGCCACTGCACAGAAATATCTGCCATTTAGGGAAGAGAGTCGTACAATTCTCTTTGATATGACCCTCAAATCCCTTCTCCTAAACATCATTTTGTACTGTAGCAACAGGCAAGAGAGAGAACTATGTGATTCTCTCCATCAGTGCCACAAAAAGAAATTCAGATGCCACATCCTGATTATGTTTTCTTAAGCATCTTCGAATTTGTTAATTTTAATAGAGAAAACTTGACTTTTTTAGGGTACAGACAAATTTTATAGGTTTTGTACTGCACGTTGCTCTACACACACATAACCACTGACTTTATAAATCAAATATTGCACTATCAGCACCAAAAAATGTACTTCAGCTAAGGGCAAAAGGAAAAAAAAAAACAATAGAAAGCTGAATAAGTGCTGGGCTCCATCACTAGAGGGAGGCATGATCACATATTAAGGTACTKTAATTCACAGACAATCCTGAACACAATTATTAAACAAATAAAAGAGAAGACCATCAGCTAAATCTGGAGAAGATTTATGGAAAGRAGAAAATTAGGTTTGCTTCTTTAACAACGTTTTATATCAAAAAACTCAGAATGTTCTGCTGGGGAACTTTCAAATCACCTGTAATGAAAGGTTTTTAAAAATTTATCTTATTGCCTTCTTTYTAAGGCAGAATAAGGTAAGTGATAGAAGAAAGTAAAAACTATCAGTTTCAGAAATGTCACACAGCATTGCATCAGGAAAATGTTAGAATTTTAATTTGAGCAGCTTTACAGCCCATTTAACTTGAAATCAAAAAGTRATTTTAATCATGTTTTTATTTTTAAACTAAATTGGCACAATTATATCTAGATGAACAGACACTACCAAAAAGCTGCTTTTTCAACACATGACTCCCCTTGGCCATTAATAAATTTAGAAAAAACACTTTCCTGAGAGGCTGTGAAAAGCAGCATAAAAAACAACAACCCAAATCAGTAACTCAAACACTACCATCATTCTTTTATTTGATCATTTAGTCAGCTGCAGGTTTGAGGGCTTGCTTGGTTTGTTTTTAATATACTGAATGTCTTTTTTATATTGGTGAGATCTTTCTCTTCCCCCTGTAAACTTCACAGYAAAAAGCACCAAATTTGGCTGGCTCACTTGTGGGAATTCACACTCAGCTGCCCATTTTACAAGTGACTAAACAGTTTCATTAACAGCAGGGGCACAACCAAAGCTTTTAACACCTGGCTTAAATCCTGTCCATCATGGAGAAGGTGGAACCAGAATCTCCTGAACCCAAATGCAGCTCCAGCCTCGGGAAACACATCAGCAAATGCTGCTCACCCAGCGCTCAATCACACAGTGTTTAACTGCTTTACATTCAGTTTTTACGCCAAAGGCTGAAATTCTTCCCACTCCTGCTGCTACAGACCCTGTGATACAAACAGTCCAGGGCTCTTTGAAAGGCAGAGGTGTTGTTGGAACAAGGACAGACAGGAATTAAATGGGGAGGGAAGTGAGGATCTGTGCACCGAGGGTGAAAAGCATTTTCTGACTGCAGAAGCGTGCTCAGAAAGGCTGTGGAACCAATGCAGTCTGKAAAGTTTAGCTCTGGCAGATTCATTTCCCCATTAGGTGTTCACTCCCACAGGAAGGCAAAGGTTTAAACACCCTCATGTTTCAAATATACATCTCACTCCACAAACACACTGCTCCTCTCAAAGCCTTGCAGTGCTTTGCCACCAAAACTGCCAACAGCCTTTTCCTCCACCATCTCTACAACCTGGGCCTTCCAGCAGCCAAACCCCAGTCCTCAGAGTCCCAACTCCCTCTCCCACACCCACATTTTGCTTTGTGACATTCCCTTTCCAGATGAAATGGTCAGGGAAAGAAACTCACTGCCCCTTGCAAAMACTGCAACTCATAACATAAAGCTTGATTAACTCTTCACTGCATCACCCATAGTTCWTCCTTTTCYTTCTGGAAAGATTTCAGTCAATAAAAAAACTTTTTATCACCATGAGAAAGCATGGAAGGGCAGCACAGAAGGAAATTCAGAGAGCTGGTCTGACAGTTTGCAGCCTTTGTGTCCTTTCTCTGTTTAACACAGCAGCATCCCCTCCTGGAGTCACTCACCTGTTCATGAAGGTGGAGTTCTGCTCTTTYAGGGCAAGCTCCCGTTGCTGCAGGGCCACAATTTGCCTGGAGAGATCATCAGGTGTCCTACACAATAAAAACAAAATGAAAACTTTTAACAAATCATTGGTTGAAAGTCCATATTCCCAAAGAGGTCTCACCAAAACCACCCAAGGCCATTTCCTGCAGTCCCTGAGAACATAGAGCTGCAGCTTGGCCAGTTCACACAGAACCTAAAGCCATCAAAACCATTCCAGCATGAGATCAGGATTCATAAGAGGGTAAGAGAGTGTGGAGGTGCATCCTGTGAGAGTGTGGAGGTTCAGGTACATCACAGGTGACTCAAAGCAGTGCCCCCACAGAGTTACCTGTGCTGATTTCAGAGTCTTTCACACACACCGAGACTCCAGAAGAGAAAAAAACCCAAATCCCTCAGCTCTGGGTGTCACTTCAGATGTCACTGATAACCTTTTTCTTGTCAAAGAGATCAGAGATTTCCACAGACTCTGAAGTTGACAGAAACAGGTTTATTTTTTCATCAAATCCAATGACAAATGTTTAAAGGTAATGGGATGGGATCATGATAACTCCAGTCTGGCAATTCCAGAGACCACTTCAACAGTGTCTGCAGGGGGAAATTGTTCTTTCAAAGGCCTCTCWTTAAGATAAAAATAAAAATTTGCCTTGAGCCATGAGAAAGGTTTTCCCACCCTAAAATAGAAGCATCTCCATCACACTTCTCAAAGGAACCTGCGCTCGAACAAGGGGAATGAATGAGAGGAGTGAGCCAGACCTTGGAAGGGCTTTCCACATCAGTTCTGCAGCAGTGAAATCTGTACAAACACAATCTATCACGGCCCCCAAAAAGCAAGTCAAGGTCCCAATGCTGCTGGCAGATTAAACCAGGCCTGGTCAGAGTTTAAAATATTGAAATACAGTGCTGGAATGAGGCTGAGCCTCTCAAAAAAAACTGAATCGGGAAAATTACCTCCAGCTTGAGCATTCTGACTGAATCCAGGACTAAAGAAACCATTTCTCCAATGAAAGTATTTTTCAGCTGACTCCTCACATCAAAAAAAGGCATCACTTTTCTTCTTTAATCATCTGTCACTTCCAGTAGAGCGAAAATTAGTTAAACACTGAGTTGGTGCAGATAGGATTCAATTTTGGCAAACCCAGCTGAAAGATTCCTGCGTTTCACTTCCAGAATTGTGTCCTTCCTCAGCAGAAAATACTGAGGCTTCTAATACCACTTGTGTTACATCCAAGTCTTAACAGTCAATATATGATAAATCAGATGGAAGTGTTCTCCCAGCAGACAMTGGAGACACAGATTGAAGCAGAGAAATCAGTCAGGACAGGACATGACACCCACTAGCCATGGAAATTATGAGAAAAAACAAGATATGACCTGGAGATGGCTTGGCTAAAAAAATCTTTAAATAAAATTCTGGTAGCAGAGACCAGTCAATTTTAATCCAACACATACCTGGATTTTCAAAAGTGTTGCAGCATTTAATAACATGTCAAAGTAGCTCAGCAGCTCTTTACTGAGGGTTACCAATGTTTGGGCAGCAGAGAAAGCACAGGAAAAATGGACTGGGCACACTCAGTCTGTCTGGCAAAAAGCAGCTGCAAGCAGACACACCAATTTCCACAGGAACAATCTTTGTACAATGGAATGCCAAGTCAACAAGGCTCTGAAAAATGCAGTTCTAAGCTYGGATAAATCACCCAAATATAGCAGATTTATCATAAGAATAGTTAGTACCAGGCAGCTCTCTGGCCATGTTGAGTGCCAGCCCCCAACACCAGTGCTTGGTCCCTGCATCAAGGAAATAATTTCACGGATTCTTTATTTCAATATACAAAAAAGTATATCTGCCTTGATGTTTTTCTCATTTTTTTTCAGATATTCATATCATAATCTATTAGGATTGAGATCAGGAACTGAAATTAATCCAACAGTAAAATGAGAGAGGACTATAAAAGCCACAGATTTCTAGTAATGATTGCTCCTGACCGATTTCCAATAAAAAACAATCATCCTCATCTGTTTAGCCATTCAAACCAACAATCAGCTTCCAATCTCAGTTCCAGCAATTGGCAGCTTTAGGTTTACACTTAGTTCTGGACAAAGCTTTACTGGCATTAGATACCTTTTATTATTTTTTTTTTGTTTTTAAGTGGAGCAGCATAGATATATAACAGAAARGCGAGTCCATGGGTATTAATCCCCTGTAAAGGAAAGTTCAATTTCTGTCAAACTAAATCATGCCAGGTGAGCAGAGACACCTTTGCACACACTCTGCTGTTAAAYATCCTTATTGAGAGTTTTCCCAGGTCTACACCCCACCCTGATCATCAGCACTTTGGCAAAARCCACATTTCCACAAAGATCCAAGCAGAGGAACGACACTGCATGCACAATGAAATTAAATCATGGCTTTCAGTTTGAAGAGAATTGCTCGAGTCCCARAGCACTGCAAACACCAACCAGCTGTAACCAGCCCTGTCATTGCACCAGTTTCTGACAACAATGCCATGGAAAGAGAGAAATCTGTCAGCATCCCAACACACAGTAACATGAGCTGGCCTTCAGAGCCTTGGTCTATCATTTTTGTGAAGCTCTGTCCATTCCCTATGGAAMAATTGGTACCAAAAGCAGAATTGGAAAGCCAAGGAATCTGCTTTAAGAGGATCTTTATGATAACACAGCTGGAATCACAATGGCTCACTGAAAGAGGTCTGAAACCCTGTCCTCACCCAAACAGAGGCAGAATTCCCTTTCTGAAAAGCTGAGCACTGCCAGTGTTTGCTCTGCAAATCTTCAGGCAGTTTCCTTCCCCGTGGAACCACCAAAACCCCACACCTTGTGTGCACCAGCTGAGTAAAAACSTGCCAAGGAACCCAGAATGGCCCAGTTCAGGGCAGGGGGTTATCAAAACTGATTTGTGTGCTTTGTAATCATAAAGTTCACGTGAACAAGTGAAAAAATGACTCCCAAAATGCAGCTGCAAATGAAATCACTGCCTTCAGCTCCCTTCTCCTGGATAAGGCACAGCCAAAAGCTGGAATGTTCCTCCTGTGTCCCACCTTCCCTCTGTCCCTCTGACACTCTCTGCTTCAGCAAAATTCATGAAAACAAACAGCTGAGTTTAAGCCTAATTTGGACAAGGTTTTCTTTTGCCCTAGACAAGCAAATTAGTCCAGCAGTTAACAGCACAGCAAGGCAGGAAAGGGACAAAACTGCTGGTAAGCAACGCTCTTTGCCTTCCTTTGGAGCACAGATAATTCGAAAAGGAGCAATTCAAGAACGATAAAAACATAAAACTTGTTCAAAAACACAAAAATGTTCAAATGAAGTGAAAAATCAACTTAACAGAATGTTCAACCAATGACTTTTAGTGCCCACTGTCACACTTTTTAAACTTCTAAGGAAAATGGCTTATGGTGTTTTGTTTATGCCTTTTTTGTTTTAATGCACACAACTGACATTTCCAAGGATTTGGAGGAATGCTCTGTTCTTAGTTAAGGATCTATTACCATTTCAGCATAAACTGTGACAGTTACACACTGAGAATCAGCTGTCGAAGTAATATTAAACCACAACTCAGTACGTAGATAAAAATGTTAAAAGAAAAAGATTTTTAATTTATAATTTATTAGAATGTCAACTTTTTATTGCTTCTATAAAATGTTTCAAAATGCACAGCAAAGGAAGAGTTTTGATTGTAGCTAGAGATCAGACATTAAATTTTAAGTATGRAAGTGCAAGACAAAAGTAAAACTAAAGAGAAAAACAGGCACTTTGTGAATATGTTTGGAAGACTGAGTTCTTCACTGCTTTTTGTTTAATTAAATTTGATYCAAACTACCAAACTAAAATCACATTTATAATACTAAATTGCTCAGAATTACTTATTTTTGGAAGTCTGCTGAATTAACATTTCTCTTTACAGATTTAGTTCAGWGTGAATATACAATGACAGATTTGGTTGTCTCAACTAAGTCATATTAAACTGAAATGGAACATTACCAGATTTTTGGCACAATTTTCTCAGTTTTACACTTGAACATAATTAACTGACAAAGACCAGACACAGACATCCTTATTAAAGTGTTTGTTGAGAATAAGTCCCATAAAGGGAGGCCACATCTGCTTAAATCTCTTCTATGAAAAACATTTTCCAGATGTTTTTTTGTGTTTTGGTTTGTTGTTTTCTTTTAAAGGTAATCTCCTAAAAGTATAAAATATTTATTTTGTTCCTTATCTTTTTTTTTTGTATTATGTATAAGGAAACCTAAGAATACTCTGAAATTCTCCTCTCCCCAASAAGAACCTTTTCCACTTTTAGAAAAATAATTCAATCTTCTTCCTAGGCAGGAAAACAACAGCATCTGAAGAATAAACACGGAACGATAACATGACAACGAGAGAAGATTCCTGGAAAGGCAGTTTAGTTGTTTTAAATATTTCTGTATGATTAGGAAGGCCATGGAATGCCTGCAATAGTCTTTTCCTGTATGTTTGAAGTGAGTCTCAAACATCCTTTTTGTACATTTGATCTCCTCAACTGCTTTAACTCGTCTATCTCTGCTTTACAGGGCTCCTATCTACTTCTGAAGCTTCACCAAGTCCAAAAACATCTCAGCTCCTGGAAGGACTCACCCTGCAAGAAAGTTCAACAAATAATAATCACAACAGCTCTTTCAGACTTCCCAGGACACAGCACAGAGTCCCTATGTTTAATTTGGTCATATTAATTTTGGTCATATTAACTCCGCATTTGTTATGGGAAAACTATAAATTGCTTAATATCCCTTTCTCCACAAAATATACATTGCCTCCCTGGGAACATTCCCWGGCTCYCCTTTACCAGACTACAGGAAAATATTGSCACTAAAATCTGGTGTCCAGACCTGGAAGTTCTGAGAGTTAACATTTTCAGCAGCACTTCTGCAGGAAAGTCCCTTCAAGCTCCAGGCCAGGTAGCTAACCCTGTTTGTCCATAACTCCATGCCCACATTGTCCCTTTCTATTCYTGATTCCATTAAATAATCCATATGGTCTGGAATCTCCTACA